GTCTGTTTCTAGGCAAAATGCTGGGGGGGAGCAATAACTAGGGATATTTTTCATGACTAAGAAGTAGCTGTTATTAATGAAAAGGTTAGTGGCCTCTGCTGTAACTTGTTCTCCTGATGGAAACTGAGTCTCCAAATGCATCAAGAGCCTTCCCCCCCTTCCGTCCCGCTCCCTCTTTAGCATATGCAAGCAATAGAGTTGCCCTGTAACTAAATGATTCACAAAAGTTACTTAGAAAAATCATTGGGACTATGGACCGTACGACTCATTGCAGCGAGGATCCTACTGTGGAATTTTGCGTCATTTAATGTGTCGTGTTTGATATTTATGCTTTGCTTCAGTTCCATTTTTAGAATTCTGGTTGGTTCTGCAACCCTAATCCTATTGGATTGTCTGTTGAATGTCACGTCTTGTCAAGCGTATTGACTCTCTCTGCGTAATCCGCCTTGAGTCCGAGTGAGAAAGTCGGACTATAAATAACGTAAATAAAAATAGAGAGCTTGTGTGCATCCGTTAGTCCTGTGTTACTGCACAGCACTCGGCTCTCCCTGTGAGTAGCCGACGTTAAATACCATTTGGAAACGGAGCAATTTTATGCCAATTTGTTTACCACTTACCGGCAATTTTGTCGGTGCCGAATTGTTATAGTTATTGTTTGAGCTTGCGGCATCTTTCGCTTGGCTGAGCACAGAACGCGTGAGATTGGCTCCCCAGCTGAGGAAGCTCTTCTTGCTCTCTTGACAGACGAAACGACATTTGAAGCAGGAGTCAAAGTCCAGATCCACAGTCAGTCTGAGCCGCCGTTCGTCCAGGAGTTGGGATTCGGCGTGGCACCCGGGTTCCAGACTTTTGTGGCTACGCAAGAGCAAAGGGTGAGTGCAGCTTCCTTTCTTCATACACACAACCGGGTTGGAGTCAACCAGCTTTTTCAGGGGTGGAAAAGACAAATAGGGGTCCCTTTTGACGAGCAAGGGAACCTTTACCAAATGAGGCTACACTGGGAGTCCTGGGATCTGCATGAGCAAAAGCCACGTGGAACATGAGCTGTAAGGAGTGCAGCTGGATGAGACAGTGAAAAAGCTGACTGGATCCAGCCCACTGGGCTTTCGATATTGATTCGTTCTGAAGTCAGGAAGAGAAAAGGGGGGTCTTGGTTGCTAGTTCCTTGTGGGAACTGTGGACTAATTGTATGAGGTGAGGTGGTCCCCTAAGTGGGCACATTTAGGAAACAGGCTGACCTGATTCATGAATAGGGCTGCCAGCTCTGGGTTGGGAAATACCTGAGGATTTTGGGGGTGGAGACTGAGGAAGATGGGGTTTGGGGAGGGGAGGGACTTCAGTGGGGTAGAATGCCACAGAGTCCACCTTCCAAAGCAGCCATTTTATCCAGGTGAACTGATCTCTGCCACCTGGAGAAGAGTTGTAATCCTAGGAGATCTCCAGCCACCACCTGGAGGTTGGCAACCCTGTCCATTAAGCACAATCCACAGGGAGATTCTGCACTATCATAAAAGGGGTGCCGTACAGATCTTCTGCCTTAGGTGATCAAATGTCATGCTCTGGCCTGTGCATTAGAACCCATTTTTTGGCAGAGCTGAAGTCAGTTTAAACTTGCCTGGTGGCTTTGGATTTGCCCTTGTCAGATGGAGCAGTTTAATGACAAAGATCCAAATATGCAGGTCCCAGATGCAAGGCCCAAAATAAACTGAGTAGGGCGAAACCAAATTTTGCATGTTCAAACCTGACCTGCGGCGCATTTCGATTCACCAGTGGAAAATTGCACTTGGAGATTTCCGGAGCCAGTCGAGCAAAAGCAATCTGCTTATGAAAACAGGTTGCTGCAAATCTGTTGTTTGGGGTATTCCCAAGACCACGTGCAGCAGCCAGCTGGTAGTGCAAGCATAGCCCTTCAGGCCAAAGCATTTTAGTGTCTGCCTAATTAGATGCTATGGGGATCATGTGGTGGCCATCAGCCTATATCTTTCTCCTACCCAGCTTTCTAGTAATGTCTAGTATGTGGGAGTTCTGATGTGATGTCAGCATGTATCAGTGTCGCCCCGCCTCCTGCAAGCATCAGATATGAATGGGAGCAAGAGCAATGATACTACTAAGCATAGTGAAGTCACAGAGGGGGCCATAAATTGCTTGCCAGCAGTGAGCGTCCCTGTCCGATCTGGTGAGCACCTTTGTGCTTCTTTGCAATTGCCCTGCTCCTGAGAAGGAAACTATGGCTGCATGCAGCCAGCATTGTGGAATGGTTAGAGCAGGGGTGTCAAACATATGGCCCGTGGGCCAGAACTAGCCCATCCAGGGCTCTTATCTGGCCTGTGCGCAACTGGTTATTACCTTTATTGCCAGATGACAGAGGCTGTGCATTATGTCCCTGTATCCTGTCCCAGTGCTAATGAGTAACGGGCGGTAGAAGTGGGAGGGTGAGCATCGAGGAGACACTTTAAGGAAATACTGTAAGAATGTTAATGTTTTAAGCATGTTTATATTTTGAGTAAAAAATAATATTGTTAATTGGGTTTGCCTCTGTCCTTTATACAGTTTATATCTCCCGTACCTGCCATTACATTTTATGGTACACACGGCCCAGCCCTTCTAACAAATGAGTTTGACGCCTCTGGGTTAGAATGTTGGGCTGGGATCTGGGAGCCTCAGGTTCGAATCCCACTCCGCCATGGAAGCTCACTGGGTGATCTTGGGCTGGTCTCTCTCTCTCTCAGCCTAACCAACCTCACAGGGTTGTTGTGAGCACAAAATTGAGGCGGGTGAAAAATGGCATCTTTTAACCGATGCTAAATTGGCACATGTATGAACATGACTTCTTGTCGGGTGTCCATGCCTTTCTCCTCCTCTCTCCTTTTCACATGATGAAGCCATCCCAGTTAGAAACTCATTCTGACTACCTGTCTGGTACAGATGTCCTTTCACTGGGATTCATTTTCTTACAAACTGAGAACATCACCAGAGTTTAATCCAAGTTTAGAATCTCGGGGGGGGGGGATGTACCTCCAAGTTAACCAGCATTCGTATATCACCAGGAGATGGAACTGGTTTCTTACCAGACAACTGCACATCAGTTTAATGTTGCTTGAAAGGTGTTGTCTAACGCTCCTTTCCTCCCTGTTTTTGGAGGAAAGTAGCAGTGACTTCCCCTTCTCCCATTTGGGCCTTTGTAAAAAAAGTGCCAATGCAACAGGAAGAGAGAAAACCTTTTCCCCACCCTTCTGCACAGAAGGAAAAAGGGATGGTTCCTTCTGCCATTCTGTGGGTCTTCTGCCAGACGCCCCGTATAAGCCCAAATGCTCCTCCACTCCCCATACTCTCTTCATGTACCACAGGATTCGGTGATGGGTCAGTGGAGACTGCAAACAATAGCTTGGCCAGTAAGCCAAGCCAAAATTTGTAGCCCCTTTGGCTTCCAGTTTGGTGTAGTGGTTAAGAGCGCAGACTCTAATCTGAGAGTACTGAGTTTGATTCCCCACTCCTCCACATGCAGCTGCTGGTGTGACCTTGGGCCAGTCACAAGTTCTCTCAGAGCTGTTCGCTCAAGAGCAGTCCTCGAAAGAGCTCTCTCAGCCCCACCTACCTCACAGGGTGCCTGCTGTGGGGAGGGAAAAGGAAAGGAGACTGTAAGCCGCACTGAGATGCCAAGTGACACATGGGGTACAAATCCAGTCTCCTCCTCCTCCTCCTCTCCCTCTTCCCATCATTCATTGCTTTGATCAGATGTTGCTGGAAATATGTGGGAGGAAAAATCTCTGTAGCAACAGCCAGACATGAAGCCCCCACCCCAGTCCCTGATAATGCCTGAAGCAGAAAGTCCAAATGGTTCCCCTAGGATGGTAACCATACAATTGCCAACAGTGTCCTTATGCCCTTTTAAGGCCACTGACTTCTGTGGATTTAGAAGGTTATGACTGTCTAAGATGGTGCTCTTGGCTGCTGCCCATGAACAGTATCCCAGAGTCTGTCTCTCGCGGCATGCCACCTCCATCCACCTAGCAGCTGGGCTGGCCCTGCTCACAGACACTTCTGTGCGCCCCGAGAAAAATTGCCCGCAGCATCCTCTGAATCTCGGAGCCAGCGACTGTGAAGTTGATGCTAATTTAATCCTCAAACATTTGGATATGTGCAAGTCTGTGCTAATTACTTTCCCCGTCTATCCACGTTCCCAAAGCACACTTTTGAAACCCGCACTCTTTAACTGCTCGTCATCTTGCAGGTTTTCATATTAAGAGTCTGGAAGTGAGTGGGGAGGGGGGGGCAGGGAAGATCATCCCAATTCCAATTAGGACCAATTACATTAGGCTGTTCAGCTGTTTGGCAGTGTGATTTCTCTCTCCGAGTTGAAGGAAACTTGTTCGGCCGCATTCATAAAAATTGCATGTCTGCAAGAAGGGGGAATCACGCGGCTGTCGGAGAAGCGGGAGGAAGGAGGCACGCAGTAAACCAGTAGTAAGAGGTCCCCAGCACGGTGCCCATGGGCACCATGGTGCCTGCTGATACCTTTTCTGGCACCAGGCCTGTAGCTATAGTAGGGCTTCCAGGGGCTCCGTCCCCTTTCTTAAAGGCACAGCTCCCACAAGAATTTCTCCTATAAATGCTTTTTTCAATCACTTTAAAACATTTTTTTAAAGTTGTGTGCTCCTTTAAGCAGAGTGGAGTGCTGTAAGGGACTAATTCCCGCACTGAGCAAGGGGATTGGAGTAAGTGACCTCTAGGATCCCTGGTTTCCTTAGAGTTTTTCTGCCTGAGTGTTAGCTTTCTTGCCTATAGAAGTCATCACCCCCACCTGCTGGCTTGTTATCAGAATTGTTGCTTAGGTTGGCAGATTAACTTGCAGCAGCTGAGAACTGTCATCTAAAGTGGTTGGCAGCTTGCAGTTTAGAGACCTGTCCTGGTATCAGCTTTCTATTGGCTGAATGGCTTTTCTTTCTGCACTGAGAACTTCAGCCCCACCAGAAAAAAATTTGCCCCACAAGCCACAAAATCCTGGCTATGGGCCTGTCTGGCCTCCACCAAGTGTTTTTAGGAAGTGGGTGGGGCCAGGTAGGGCTTTTGCCCAACAAGTCTTCTGATTGGTTATCAGAAGTTTGATTGGCAGTGCACGTGTTTTTTTTTTAATGTTGCTTTGGCAGCTGCTACCATGGAACAAGGATCTACACTGTGTTATTGAAGTTAAAACTATGGTGATCATTTTGTGGTTGGCTCCACCTCCTGCAGCAGCCATCTTGTTGCTGTGCCCACCATGCTGTGTCAGGATTCCCAGTGTGCCAGCAGGCTCAAAAGGGTGGGGAACCTCTGCCATAAGGGAAAGCATCTCACTGGGCTCTTTTGTCGGCACGTGACCAAGTCAGTTCTGTGAGATAAGAAGTGTTATTCAAAAAGATTGGCAGTTTCCTCTGTGGAAAGCAGCAGCGCCTGGCTGAGCCGGTCTGTGCTGCAGGCTGGGTATATCCCTCACCACTGCAAAGCCTTTCCCCCTGGGCTATCATTAGATAGTTAGCATTAAAAAGTTACCCTTTGATAGTTAGCATGCGATTTTTTAAATCCTTTATGTTAGTTTCATTCTCTTTATGCTGTTTTTAGGCTGTGAGCCACAGGAGAGCCAGTTTGGTGTAATAGTTAGGAGTGCAGACTCTAATCTGGGAAAACTGGGTTTGATTCCCCACTCCTCCACATGCTGCTGCTGGTGTGACCTTGGGTCAGTCACAAGTTCTCTCAGAGCTCCTCTCACAAGCAGTTCTTGTTTTAATTATATTAATTGTATATATTAATTGTATATACTGTATTTTATTCAATTTTATGTAACCTGCCCTGAGCCTGCTATGCGGGGGAGGGTGGGATAAAAGTCGAATAAAAT